TAAAATGCTTAATTTTTTATTTTTAATTACATTGTTGGTTCTACCAGAGTATTCTCTATCATCACCAAATGTGATAATCCAAATTCAGGACATCCCATGCTTGGACAAATAGTGGCTTTTTTTTTTTACAGAATAGATTTGAACTTTCAGGTGTCTTCTACAAAATATGAATCATACAGCTTAGAATTGGGATGTGCTGTAAGATTTGAGTACTGATGCCAGATGCAAAAAGTATGGAAGAGAAGTTTGCTTTGTATTGTCTCAGGTACTGCACATTTTGACAAACGGCAAAGGATGCGAAAATAACTTTGTGGCTTAGACTGTGGAGCCACAGTCTTCCCTGAATAGAATGGATTTAGGCTTCTTCTGTATCTGACTTGCCTCTGGCTTGAAATAGGTCATCATCTTTATTGCATTGCAAGGGAGTGCTTATTTGCAAAATTAATGCACAATTATCCGCAATCGGCAGATTCAAGTTGATATATTCCAGTATATCTGGAATATTTCCAGTCGTCTGGCTGCCTGTGTCTGTTAGCCTGCGTCAGCTTCCTTGTGTCAGCAGCACTAAAAGGAGAATCAAATCTAATCTCTTGTGATAGAGAATAACCTTAACCTAATGCTACCAGATAGGACAGAAACATTTATTTGATGCTTTTTTTGGAAAAATGATAAGGTTATCCATGCTGTAAAGGATTCATTACTTTTTCGTGGAACTACAATGAAACAAAGTGTCTCACGTCCCTGTGCCGTTTCCCATGGAAAGGGACCGTTCTTGCATGTGGACAGTACTAGATGCACTGCAGATTTCCTTCAGAATGCATTAAGATTTGTAGCAACTGTCTCTTAGGCTGGCATGGATTTTTGTGTTTCTGTAAGATACTTGGCAGTCGTGGGTTTACGGTTTCCTACAGGTGTGGAGCTTCATAAATGCAGTGGAGCGCCCGTAAGAGTAAGAAAAAATAGGTCTGTTCTTTCTTAATAACCATCAGGCTTCTGCAGTTTTCTTTTACTTCTAAAGAAAGTGTGAATAAAGAGTGGATAAAGGGATTACTTTAATCTTTAAAAACTTGGTTTTATTCTGTTGTGTAGGAACAAGCTCTTTGGTCCAGAACCGATTGATAAAAGGATTCCATGTGTCATTTTTTGCTGTCTGTTGTTAGGTAGTTCTTTGCTGCTTTCCTGGAATGTATGTGCTTATGGGGAATGAGACACCTGCTAGGCGATTTTTGTACATTTAGATTTTATCTGGGCAGTTTGAAGAAACTTATATGTGTGTGAATGCTGCTGAATTCCAGAGATGTCATTCTTAAGAACCTAGTGTTTCAGGGTTTTTTCCACAGCAGAGATAGGGATATATCTTGGCTCGAGGTTGGTAAGGCTGGGCTGTGCACATGATGCAAACTTAGCTGAGTTGTCTGAACAAGCAAGTCTGCGAGGAGGAAAGACAGGCTGAAGTTGCTGGCTCTGCTGGCTGTGTCAGTGCAACAGGTGTGGTGTAGATTTTGTGAGGCAGAAGCTGCGTGTACTGTGGGCAGAGACAGACTTCTTCGAGTCAGGTGAGGTCACTTGTTCTGAGTTCTAGTTAGGAAAAGACTTGAGTTCCTTCAAATGAGTTGAAGTAGGCATAGATCCTGCATAGTGGGATGCAATAGACCTGCACACGGGTTGATTCTCAAGGAGCTAGCTGCTTAAGGGTTGCTCTGGTTCACAAAAAACCTGTGACTTATTCCCTGATGTAGAAAGCCAGAAGGTAAGTTCTCTTTAAGTAAAGTTAAGTAAGGGTTGCCACTTAAAAGGGAATTGTGAAGCTTGGAAATTTTGTCATGGCATATGTGTTCTTGTGCATACTTGGTTAGGAGTAGAATATGCTAGTCACTACTAGATTTGTGAAAGTTTTCTCATCTTGTCAGAAGACTTTTGATGAATATGGGACACAAAATAGCTTTTCCATTCCTGTGTGCAACAAGTCATTATTTGTTGCTATGGTTGACTTTGATAAATTTCCTTCTGCCTTCAGTGTACTTTTAACTGTGTGAGAAGCCTTTCTAAGATTATAGAAATGTGAAGTTTGCCTGTAAGATTCACTTGTGGAAAGGCTCTTGGTTTACTGCACAGATGTATAGTAGGTAATTCAGGGAAATGTTTTTGGTTCCTCTGAGAAATTTTGTCTTCCATTAGACTTCAATTTCAGCTTCTTCAGGTGAAGATATTTTTACTGTAGCCTGGCAGCTGACAGTAAGCTTAAGGGTTTTTTCTTCAATCATAGAATTGCAGATTGGTTTGGGTTGGAAGGGATCTTGAAGATCTAGTTCCAACCTCCCAGGCATGGGCAGGGACACCTTCCACTAGACCAGGTTGCTCAAAGCCTTGAACATTGTCAGGGATGGGGCAGCCACAGCCTCGTGGGGTGACCTAAAATAGTCACTCAGTGTTTGCACTTGTCATGATACGAACTTTGGAGGAAGATGTCTGCCCTTGTTAAATGCTGTTTGATCTCTTGCCAGCATCTCCTAAATAATTTACTTCCATTGTGCATGTTGGTGTTGCTCAGTTATATTTGTTGTTTGGTATCTTCACTGTAAGAGAAGAGGGGAGCAAGGTTGTGGTTATGGACACAAAATAGAAAATAACATACAAGGAAGGGAGTTACTCATTATCAATCTTAAAGAAAAAAAAAAGTATTTGGAAACTCATTTGGCAGGGGCTCATTCTTGCTTGGCACTAGTGAGGCCTCACCCCAAGTGCTGTGTCCAGTTTGGGACACTTCCCAATACAAGAGAGACATAAGAGGGAGTCCGGTGAAGAGCCATGAAGATGGTTAAGGGCTGGTGAATGGAAAATGGAGCCAGGCTGTCTTCAGCAGTGCCCAGTGACAGGGCCAGGGGCAGTGGACACAAACAGAAACGGGAGGTTCCTTCTGAACATCAGGAGATGTTTTTATTGTGAGCTTGACTGAACACTGGCACAGGTTGCTCACGTAGGCTGTGGAGCCTCCATCCTTGGAGATAATCAAAAACCGTCTGGACATGGTCCTGGGCAGCCTGTTTGAGGAGGGGTTTGGACCAGATGATCTCCAGAGTTCCCTTCCAACCTCAATCCTTCTGCAATTCTGTATTACTTTGTCAGTGAAGAATGTTCCCTCCTCACCCTCCCCATTGCCAGGCGTTTAAGTGGAGTAAGTTGTTGATGTGATGCAGAAGATGTTGAGGAAAACCTTTGCTGGGTAAAATTGCCAGAGTGACCAAATAAAAGGAGTTTCACTAAGTACTAATAAACCTGTTTCTGAAGATAATCATGAGACGATTCCTAAGATTGCCGGGAATTTTCAGCATATTGCCAGTTACATGGGAAGTAAACATCCTAATATCCTAATATATTGACACCCTTATATTGAAGGTTAATTGAAATGGTGTTGATTCAAGCTTGTTCTTTTCACCAAGCATACAACTAGCCCTTGCCATCTTGGGAAAAACTAGCAAAACGCAGAAATGCTTCTTTTTGCTGCTGGTTGGCAGTCTCAGCTTCAACATGATAAATTGATTGCAAGTTGAGAAGCAGGTTGACTTCCACAGTTGCCTCAAGAGAATTTGTGTACAGAATACTTGAGTAGCACACTCTTTGGTGTCCCCCCATACTCCTCACTCTTTATAGTTTGGTTTGCTTGTTCCTGAGCAAACTATTTTTGCTCAACTGCAGCTTCTTGATGAAATCATTGTTCTGGTAGCTGTTCTAAAAATTGGTCTAGAAGTGAATCAATCATTAGTTTCCTTCAGGAAATTGCTGCAGATAACTGATATATAGAATGAGGATGGGGAAATAAGGTGGTGTGCAAAATGCAGTTTCAGTATTTTAGAGGGCGTTTATTCATGAACTTCTAAATTTAAGTAATAAAACTTGTTTTGATCCAACTTGGATTACATCCTATTGGTGGTGCCTACTTTAGAAAATGAAGTTATTTGCTTTTTTTTTTTTTTTTTAAGAGGTAGGGTTGTCACAGTTTGTACATCCAGACCTGGTCTTGAGGCTGTATATATTTCAATCCGAGAAGTAGAAAAGAGTTAAACTGAAAAAGGCAATGGGAGTCTTTGAACTACCTTTGGAAGAAGCACTGTTTATATTACCTTCATTTCTTCCATCCTAGATCTAAAAACTGATAGAATAATTTTTTCTGATAGGTAGTCTAAAAACAGTACAGATGAAGAGTGATTCTCCTTTCTTCCTCCCTTGTGCTCAGCTATAAATTTCTGAATTTGCTTGGACTCAAGTAGCTTCTTACATCATTGTAGCATTCTTGCTTTAAAGGTTTGGGTTTGTGCTTTGCTGCTTTTTTAGATATAAATTTGAATTCATAATGCTGTTCACCTACAGTAGTCTACAGGTGCTAAAGTTAACTCTTTCAGGTTGTGCAGAATCAGTAGCAACATAAGTTGCTTCACAGTACAACGCCCTAAGTTGTCGCTGTGCACTAGAGGTAAATGTGTTTTCCAGATTGTGTCCAAGGTCTGCAACTTGCAGGGTAGACTGAGTACAGAAGTCAAGGTGTAAAAGGTACTCTTTAAGATCAAAACGTCCTATTCCCATGTAAATTGAACACTAGGTCTAGGTTTTGTGAGTGTTGTTTATACATATTATTGAGGTTTGATTGAAAAACTCCTTGGCTAAACTTTGTGGTACTGTAGAAATTGGATTGCAAAGTCTTGCAAGGAAAATACCTAATATGATCTTGATAAACAAGAGAAATAAACCATTCTTAGAAGTTGTTTATTCAATGAGGTCCTGAGTTTTAAACCCAAATTTGATTTTTCTCTGTTTATCTCAGAAGCACGCTATTACTGACACTGGATGAACAGGATAGCCTTTTGCACTCCTTTATTGATAACTAAAATTTTTATTATGGACTTATTAAATATCAGGAAAATGTTTTGTTGGTTGTTTGTTTTAGGACAGATTCTGCAGGGTCCTTTTGATGATTAAAAAACTTAATTTTCTATTTTAGGTGTGGAATATCAAACAGATGATTAAATTGACTCAAGAACATATAGAGGCACTGCTAGACAAATTTGGAGGAGAGCATAACCCACCATCGATATATTTAGAGGTAAGTTTATGTGGCTCAATTAATGGTATGTTATCTTAATCTGATATGAAGTATCTTATGTTAAAACTGAGAATACCTTTAGTAAAAGAGAATATTTTCCTTGTGTATTACAAACTTAACTCTTTTCTTGAAGATAGAGAGGAACTGTATGAGATTCCTGATACACATCAGTAGGGGAAGATCAATGATGTGGTCTAATAATTATATTGGTGCAACTAAAATATAGAGCATCCTTTTTGGGGTCAGGGAGGACAAGATTGTGTGTGTATAATAAAGTCATGCTCTGTTAAAAGCAAATATATACACATACACATGAAAACATTTCAGAAGAGTAACTTTGCCTTTAAAGCAGTTGACTTCACTTTTTTCCCTTTGAAAAATGATCATGTATAATCCAAAAATTTCTGTTACTAGAAGGGAACTTCTTAAATACGTAAAATTGTGTGTGGAGTAATATTTTTAAGCCATGTTTAATTTGTAAGCTAACTACAAATTAAATGTCTGTATTCTTTCATCATTCTAGATGCACAAGTTGTGTTGATGTAGGGCCATTAAGAGCTTAAAGAACTGTATGCAAAAGTTACCTCTGTTAGGAATTGAATGGACATCCCTTCCTTCAAACCTGCCCTTTTATTACTTCTCTCAAGTATTGGAATAACTGAAGGTCAACCAGATTTCTTTGGTAGTCTTTGTAATTGCTGCCTGAAGGTACTGGATAATTAAAAATAAAGATCTCATTATTTGAGGTACTTCTAGCTTTTATCTTAATATGTCAGAGCAGGGCACTAGCTTGATTGTACAAATGTTGACATTACGTCCTTAACAGTTAAGGTCAAGTGAGGCCCTCCCCAGTTGCTTTACTTACTGCTAATGTGAAATGGGAGTACTGAATCACTGCTAATCACTATTTTAACCACTCAGTGCTACATATAAGCATACCTCTGTTTTCACATGAACCAGTTTGTTCCATGTGTCTGGATTTACTATTGCCACGTGTATGTGGGATTCATAAGATCGTGTATCAAATTGCAGTAATAGTGAGCTTTAGTCTGTGGTAAGTCTGGACTACAGGTAGTGAAATTGTCGGTTCATTGCAGCCATTTGTCACTTGCTTGTGTCTAAATTAAAACTGAGATTCAACACTGGAAGCTACACTGGTTTTGTAGGTCACTGATAGGGGAGAGAGCATTTGCAGTCATAAATATGTACTGGGAGATGATTACAGCAGCATAAATGGTATGGTAAGTCTGAAAATAGTTGGTGACCATAAACCATGAAGCTTAAAGTAGATTTGCAAGTTCAATGGATCCATGTGCCACTGGTCTGAAACTGCAACTCTGGCTCGTCAGTGTGGTAGGGAAGCCCTGTGAGGCAGAGCAGGATGTTCCTCTGCTGCAGTGAGTTCTACTGGATCGTGGAGCAGGTCTTGTGACAAGTGGTGCTGGTACTGAGTAGGGAGCCATGGGGAGGAAGGTGAAAGTGGCTGACATTCTGCTTTTTCAGTTGAGTTATCCCAGGAGACAGTGAGTCCTGTGAAAAGAGCCCATCATAGTTGAAATGAAAAGCCTTGTTCTTACCAGCTCTTTGGTGTGAGGCCCCTCCACTTCCTCTGTTCAGGTGCCTGCAGTACTGGCAGTGACTGAGCCACTCCCAATCACTAAGGAAAGGATAATTTTCTGGTTTTGCTGGATTAGTTTACCATCCAGTTAGTAGATTGAACTTGATGATGATGAAGTCCAGTGAGCTGCAAAGCTGCGCTTGAGGTTAGGGAAGGGGAAGAACTTGCAGCTTTTAGCCAAGTGTGAGAGAGGAGTAGAACTTCTATTTGGATGGTCATTAGCATAGATTAGATCATCCTTAGATGGATTTATCAAAGTGAACAGGATTAAATGCTGCAGACCTGTAATTTGTTTAGTGTGTAGATTTCCTGTGGTAGAACTAGTGTGAAAGAAAGAAAGAAAGAAAGAAAAAGAAGTAGATTAGTGAGTGCCAGATACAGTCAGAAGCAAGATTACTCTATACCCTTGACTTTTCATTTCATCCCAGTAACAGTTGTCTAATGTGTCCTTTCTGTGCCTTTTCCACCTTTTTGGCTGCTTTTGCCTTGGTCAAGACAGGGGTTGCTTTCTACTATCAGCATTTCCTTTGCAGCAGTTTATCTGAATCTAACCTGTCACTGCTACAGCTATGTTTTGACTTAGTGTGTTCCTTCACCTGTCAGAAAAACTCTGGTTGCAGCATAGAGGGACAAAGCTGTATGTAAAAAACTCTGATTGTAGTGTGATTATGTGTGAAAGAATATGTTTATGTTTGCCCCTAGGAAATGCAGAACTAAGGAAATATGAAGAAAAAGAACAGGAGAGGCTGTAGAATACACATACAAAGTTTAAGTGGTTCAGTAGATAACTTGTCTATCTCACATCTGTTAGAAATAGCAAACTTCTCATGTACAGAGCTACTGTGAGATATCAGGCCTGTGACTTCCATGGAGGAGCCTCTTTCCCCTTAAGCTTTTATGTCTAGTCTGTGTCTAGGTCTTGGTGCTGTGGTCTGTGTACTCTCACCAAAGTCCTTAAACAGGAAGGTAACATTTAAAGACTAGGGGAGGTGCTTATGCTCTGCCCATCCTCATCTGGTCTCTGTATTTTTATTGTTTTGCCAGACTTGTTTCTGGCTGTAGTGTGTGCCCTGCTTTTACCCAGAACCTGTATGGGTAATTTTGCTGGTGTGTAACTTGAACTGCATCACCCTTCCCTTTGTTTCCTCAGATTCATAGAATGGTTTGGATTGGAAGGGACCTTTAAAGGTCATCCAGTTCAAATCCCCCTGCAATGAGCAGGAACATCTTCAACTAGATCAGGTTGCTCAGAGTCCCATCCATCTTGGCCTTGAATGTTTCCGAGGATGGGGCATCCACCACCTCTCTGGGCAACCTGTGCCAGTGTTTTACCACCCTCATTGTAAGAGTTTTCTTCCTTATGTCTAGTCTGAATCTACCCTCTTTTAGTTTAAAACCTGTTGCAACAGGCCCTGCTAAAAAGTCTGTTCCCCTCTTTTGTATAGAGTCCCTTTAAGTATCGAAAGGTCCTTTAATTAATAATTAGGTCTTGGTGGAGGGTTTTCTCCTCCAGGCTGAACAGCCCCAGCTCTCTCAGCCTTTCTTCATAGGAGAGGTGCTTCGACCCTCTGATCATCTTCATGGCCCTCCTCTGGACCTGCTCCCAAAGGCTGTGTCCCTGTGTTGGGCCCCCAGAGCTGGATGCAGCACTCCAGGTGGGATCTCACAAGAGCAGAGTAGAAGGGTAGAATCACCTCCCTGGACCTGCTTCTTTTCATGCAGCCCAGGTTGGCTTTCTGGGCCATGAGTGCACTTTGCCAGCTCACGTCCAACTTGTCATCCACCAGTACCTGTGCTGCAGGATTGCTCTCAATCTCTTCACCCTCCATCATCCTGTATTGATATTGATTTTAAAGTCCTTCTGCTGCTCTGATCTCTCTGCATCTCCCATAACGTGTGAGCAACTGTTAAGGACTTGTGTAAATTGTGACAGTTGATCATCTCTTGAATGCTATCAGCAAGCATATTGTCTTCTTTTGGCAAAAATTGGAATTAGCCAAAGCTAATTGCTAGGTACATACCTGCAGATGAACACTTTTGCTTTCATCCATGCTGTCTTTCACTGTTGCAAACTTCTAGTTTTATTGTAATGCTTTCTGCAAAACCATGGGTTTTTGTGTGCTTGTGACAAGTTTGACAGCTATCCATCCATCTTCTAGTGCATGGAGTTTCAGTACCAGAGGATTTGTTTGGTTCTTCTGTACTCCTGTCTGGCTTTTACATCCTTCATTTCTTACACATCTAAGTACTCATGTTTAGAGAACTTGCAGCACCCTGTACACTGGCTCCTGACCTTGTGTTGGAGCTGCCTCTCTAGGCCTGTCAAGTAAAGTTGTGGTTCAACCTGGCAACAAAATTGCTTTTCAATTAAAAGTGAAAGGAAGGGGCGGGGGGAACAGAAGCTCATGGGAAAGCTGAAGAATTCAACAAGAAAATAATTCTGAAAATTGAGCATTCAAAGGGTATAGTAAAATTATTTGTGCATGGAATATAACACATACACCTCATTTAAAAATAAAAAGGGATTTATGCCTTAGTTACAGTTGCTCAAGAAATAGAAGCTTTTGTTTCTGTGCTCATCTTAGAGTGAAAAGACAAAATTCTTTTTTCCCCCCAGATCTTTTTTTTTTTTAAATTCAGGAGAGGGTGTCAATGCATTTTACATCAAAAGAACTTTAAAACTGACAGCTGTTGTTGCAACCATCATTTCAGGTTTCATCAACTGACTATAAAAGAGGAATGGTTTTATTGAAATATTGAAAGTGATTGACATGTGCTATGTTGAGTTCAACATATATTTAATTATTCCTGCAAGCAGGAGTACTCAGATTCAGGGCTATCTCCCTGCCTTGATCCATCACTCCTCAGTGATGGTCTTAAAAAGGTGACTGTGGAGCAGGGGGAGAGAGCAGAGCCTGCAAACCTGGGCAGGTGACTTTGTGTGCAGCTGCCTAGGGGTGGAAAATGTAGTGTGAAGCTGGGGGGCAATGAGTCCCTTGTCTTGGTCCTCCCAGGGCAGGAAAATAGGGGCTGAGGAAAGATAACAAAGCTGAGAGACTTCTGAATGTGTCTGCAAAGTACATGGGTAGGAAACAAAATGAGCAGAAGAAAGAACATTCGTCATTAACCACACAATTTTCTTCTAATTGTTATAATTACTAATAGGTTTGGCAATCTTGTTGATGTTCTCTAATATGATTGTAAGAAAAACTTTTCTGTTTGTCCTGTCTGGAAGAAATAATAAATCTAGCAAACAAAGGCTGTATTAAAATCCAAAAATGGCTTGTAGCTAAATTTCTTTCTTGGATAATCCTAGTTCTTAACTGCATACCCTTGTAAAAAGTTCCCTCTCCAGCTGTCCTGTAGGCTTCCTTTAGGTACT